GGAGAACTCGGAAGGGACCATCTGGGGGCAGGTATGGAGCAGGGGGTGGGGGCAAGGGTCCAAAGGGCTGTCTAGGGGCTGGTGGCCTGTGCCGAGGCTGCACAGGTTGGTGGGAGCTCCCGTGGGCACTGCCCTCCTGCAGGGCTGTTCCCTCCCTGACCCTTTGTTAGGCCCCACATTCAATACCTTGGCCAAGGGAGTGAACTCTCAAGATGCCACGTCACAGGAAGCCTCATAGTTCTTGTTGTCCTGTTTGGACCAAACTTGCTGGGATGAGAAGAGGCTCTGGAAAGCATCTGAAATGCTGGTTTTGACCACAGGGTCCTGGGAACACTTGCTTTTGAGCTCCCTGTAGGGTGACACAGGCAGGAGCTGCCTGCAGACACCTTCTGCAGCTGTAGGAGGGTCTATCAGTAGGAAACCGTGAGGATGTTTGAAAGCCAGAGGGATGGGGAGAGCACTGGGGCAGGGCAGTACACGGGAGGGGGAGGTGGGTGGGGAGTGAGAGTAGATACGATAATCCTTTGGTATCAGGGGCTTGAAGTGATACAGAACTCTGGAGCTGGATTCAAGTCCCTGCAGGGAGAAGCTGGCCTCCCTGGAGTCTCACTTCCAGCCTCTGTGTCTCACAGTGAGGATGTGCTCAGATGTGCCATATTCTTTGTGCCTTGAGCAGCTGGAGTGGAGCTGTGGGATCACCCTCCAGACCCACCTCACAGCAGGCACTTAAAATGCTGCAGGTCCCTCTCCCCAAAGTTTCTGGAAGTCCCACTTTGACCTTCAGTTAAGCAATTGTGTCCAAGTAGCAAGTGGAGAGCAATCCTATTCTGTAGGAGTCTAGCTGATCAGAAGCTTATTAATCTGTGGAATGGTGCCACCAGCTGCAGGGAGCAAGGGAATACAGGGGGAACCTCCAGGTTTCCTCCCATCTTGTGAAATGAGAATGGGTACCAGCAGATGGGCTTAGTGGCTTGTGTAGAAACTGCCTCCCCAGAGGTGAACAGTTCACCAGGCTCTGGTTCCTGCACAAAGTTTATAGTGACTGAGTCTCCAGTTACAGGACAGGGCCATCAACCTGTCCTGGTTTCTTCTAGGGATGCAGAACTTAGTATGGGATGGAGGGAAGGTGGCCCCGTGCAGGTGGGCAGTGCTGGGCTGCCCCCTGCACCAGCACAGCTCCTGACTCACTCTTCCTCCTCCTGCAGCTTGGGGAAGACTCAGATTACGACAAGCTGAGTGATATGGTCAAATACCTCGACCTAGAGCTGCACTTCGGGACACAGAAGCCCACAAGTAAGTGCCTGAGCCCAGAGCAGCTCGGGGGGGGAATGGGCTGGGTGGGCAGCACAGCAGCCCCTGGTCCTCGCATCACCTGTGGGCACAGAGCTCGCTCATACCCAGTTTGTGGCTGGTGGCACAGCAGATCATTAAGGTGGAGATCACCTCTTTTGGTGGATCTCACAGTGGAGATCACCCTCTCCCTGGATTTTCTTCACGGCCATTTTCTGTTTTCTTTCTGCATCTCAGTCCATCGGGGCAGGGAAACTCGGCTGGAGCATTTTGCTCCCCATTGTGCCCAGCGCTGCTTCCCAGCAGTCACAGTGCCTGCCTGGCCATCCCCAGCCCGCTGGGAATGCCGGGGTGCCAGCACCACCCCCAGTGCCACCAGGGCCTGGTTTGCAGCCCAGACCTGCACCACAAACTGTCATGACTCCTGCACGGCCTCTGCTCATTGGTACAGGCAGCAGGGCTGAGCAGCCAGGTACAGATGGAAGGGGCAGTGGAAGTGGGATGAAATGGGATTCTTCTCAGGGGCTCTCTATTTTTGGGGTGTTTCTGGGAATTTTCTGTGTGTTTCACCTCTCATTTTACTTTTTTCAGCTCCAACTGAGTCCTCCATTGAGGAGATCTTTGAATCGCAGAATTCAAGGATTCCTGGAGCCACTGCTGTGTGCAAAGCATCAGTTCTCCTCTTTCACTCATGGTTTCACTGTTTTCAGGGCAGTTTTTTCCCTGCTGGAGCCGGCTGAGCCTGTCCTTACCCATGATTAAATCTTTCAGTTTCTCTTCCAGAGCCAACTCTCATGCCTGAAAACTTTAAAAAGAAAGACGTGGTTGAAATTTTGTCCCACAAAAAGGCCTACAACACATGTAAGTGAACATCACGGGGAACATACCCCAGAACAGGCCCAGAGATGGGACCAGGGATGTAGAGAACTGGAAAGGTAAAAGGCAGAAGGCTTCATGAGCACCATCCCATGAACAGAACCCCAGCACAGCTCTGCTGGTCTGGGTGCTCCTGCAGCCCAGGGCTCCTTCAGGCTGGGATCAGCCCTGGGCAGAGGGAAGAAAGTGGTTTTAGGGGAATGGATGGAGATGGGATGTGACTCATTGGCCTGGGGAGGGGAAGAGCTTGCACAGCCCTGCGGGGTAGTGAGGGTGTGTGGGAAAGGGCCAGGACCACTTCTCCTTGATGGGGTCCTGGAGGGAAGGAGGGTGGGAGGCTGGGTGGGACCCTGCGAGTCCCAGGTCTCCTGGTTCTGGGGAGATGGGAGAGGAGGGATGGTTTCCTAGCTTGATGTGTTGGTGATGTAGGTGCTCAATGGTGCCCTACCCTGGGGGTCACTCCCTGGGGACCCTGCACAGCCTCTGCAGGGCCTGAGGGAGGGGAATGTCCTTCCTCTCCCCAGGGCTGACCCAGTGCTAGCACAGGCACATGGAGAAGTCCACACCACTCACACTGTGGAGAGATGGAGCTTCCCTTCCTGGCCCCTCCCTGACAGGCAGTCTCTCCCCAGCACAGCCCAGGGTCTGGTCCTCCTCCCTTCCCAAGTGACATGTCTCGCTTCCCTCAGCCATCCTGATAGCCCATCTCAAGCTGTCACACATCGAGCTGCGCCAGATCCTGATGACGATGGAGACGGACCGGCTGGAGCCCTCCCACATCAAGCAGCTCCTGCTGTACGCGCCGGACGGGGAGGAGGTGCAGCGCTTCCAGAGCTACAAGGAGAACCCCAGCAAGCTGAGTGAGCCCGACCAGTTTGTCCTGCAGGTACCTGTGGGCAGGGACGTGCTCCTGGGGAGAGGGGGTCTGCACCTGCAGTGTCCTCGGGATGTCCCACTGTGAGCTGGAGGGGAGGAGAACACACAGGGAAGAGGAAGCAGCGAGCGGGACACTGGTCTGCTCGGACGTGCTGTGGGATGGGAAGAGCTGGTGGCACTGGTCATAGGGACTGCTGGTGAGCGATGCTTGGGCTGATGCCTGAGGTGTCCAGCAGCTCCCACAGCAGCTGTTTGACAGCTGAAGCAAACCACGGTGTTTACTCCACAGCAGGAGTGACTTTGCCCAACTCTGACTTAATTTCTGTTGACAATGTCACTTGTGGATCTCGGCAGCCAGGCAGCTGTGCTCTGTGAGCCATCCCAGCTGCTTCGTGGTGTCACCTGCACTAAGCAAGTGCTTCCATGTACAGGGAAATGAGCCAGGAAGGACACCAGTTAGGAGGGACTGTAGCAAATGGTGACAACAGTGATGTTCCCCTCCTTTCGTGCCCAGATGCTGGCAGTGCCAGAATACAAGATCCGCCTGCGCAGCCTGCATTTTAAGACCACTCTGCAGGAGAAGATAGAGGAGATCAAAGCCAGCTACGAGTGCATCTGCAAGGCCTCTCTGGAGCTGAAAAGCAGCAAGAAGCTGGCTAAGATCTTGGAGGTCAGAACAGTCCTTTTTTCTCCTAACAGCCGCCGGGGGCCCCCTGTGCTCACGGGAGCAGCTGCAAGCAGCTCACAGGCAGCCCAGCACAGCTCCAGCCCCACTCTTGTTCCCTGGAACCCCCGTGTTCCCCTCGGCAGCTCCCGTTGGCATTGGTCTGTGGGGATCCTGGCATGAGGAGGATGCAGGAAGGCCAACTGCAGGTGGCCACACACTCACCCAGCACACAGCAGGGCTGCAGGACCCTGAAACCCACCCAGTGACAGAGCAGAGCTCACCAAGGTTGTCCTTTGGCTGCGGTGGGGCTGGAGGAGGTGTCCAGGCAGTCACTATGTGTGTATCCAGTGCAGGCAGCTCTGCAGGTCCCTGTGCAAGGCTGTGGGCCAGGCAGGGTCTCACATGCTGCCCATCCCTCTGAGGAGGTGCTCTTGGGGTCCCCAGGATGGGCTGTGCCTGGCAGAGAGGTCACTGCACTTGCAGGAGAGAACAAATCCCACTGCAGCTGCTCCTTGACCCTACTGAGAAGAGCTGCCCCAAATTGATGTCAATGCATTCAGGTGTGCTTTTCAAAACAGCAGGTGGAATAAGTGAGGACAAGATGAGACAAAAGGCATTTCCAGGTGAGGGATGAATCTCCCTAACGACTCCTGGCCAGTAACCTCCCAACATCTCATTAAGTCTTTGGAGGATAATGGCTGGTTGCAAGTTAATTGGTGGTGAACAGCAATTCAGAGCATTCCAGGTTGAAATCCAGATAGTCCTGAGGTCCCTGCTCCTCACCATGCTCCACGAGGGATGTTAGGACTCATGTGAGCCCAGGCTGGCCCTTTGAAATACCCCCTTAAAGATCTGCAGATAATGGCTGGAAAAGGTCTTGGGAAGAGGAGAGCTCAGGCACCTGCCAGGCAGCAGAAGAGTCCTTGTCCTGCAGGCAGAGGAGTTCAGGGTGAACCTCCAGACTTGGTCCTGGTTCTGCAAGGAAAAATTACTGAGAAAAAAAAAAGGCAAAACCAAATTGTTCACACCCAGATTGTACCTTTGACACATCCATCCACCTCATCTAATCCACTGAATGAATTGATCAGGTTTTATTAATGATGCTCTATGAGCACATGTACAGGGAGGTGCTCCCAGAAGAAGTCTCCTGGCACCAAACCCTGTGCTTTCCCACTGCCCTGTAGACAGAGAGAGGCTTTTTCCCTCTGCTCCCTCTACCATGTCGTTGGCAGGTCCCTGTGACCCAAAAGCAGGAACAAAACCAGATGGGACGGTGTCAGTGCTGGAGGGCACTGCCCAGTCCTTCACTGAGGTTTCTCTTTGCAGTTTGTGCTGGCAATGGGAAACTACCTGAACAACGGGCAGCCCAAGACCAGCAAAACAACAGGCTTCAAAATCAACTTTCTCACCGAGGTAAGACAAGGCAGGTTTGTTCCCATGCAGGAGGCACCAGTGCCAGGAGCTGCATGTGCCCATTTGTGGTGCCTGTCCTCGTATGAGGCTCCTGGGTACAGCAGGGACTGGTGGGAGGGTGGATTGATGCCCAGGGGTGGCTTCAGTGGTCGTGTCCTTTGGTGTGCTGGGACAGGAGACCTACAGGTGTGTGACACTGGCCAGAGCCCGTGGCCCTCTGGCTGCTGGGGGAGAAAATGAGGGTCTTTCTCCCTTGTGGGTCACTGTGGAGCTTCTGAGGGGTGGGGGACAGGGTGACAGCCCTGGCCTGTGAGAGGGAGATACTGCTGAACATCTTGACACCACTTAATCTGGGTGTAACAAGCTGTGTAAACATTAATTGTCCTATTTAAACATTAATCCACAGAGCGTGGCTGGGAATTGCCACGCACGTGAGCGCAGGGCAGAGCAGGGCAGAGGAGCCCTGCAGGCTCAGCAAACCCACGCTCCCCTGCACAGCAATCTCCTCACTTACTGTGCTTTGCTGCAGCTGAACACGACCAAGACTGTAGATGGGAAATCCACCTTCCTGCATATTCTTGCCAAATCACTTAGCCAACATTTCCCAGAGCTCCTGGGCTTTGCCAAGGATCTTCCCACAGTGCCGCTTGCTGCCAAAGGTAAAGGAACAAAAGCATCTGCAGGTCCCATGTCTTCTTGCACTGTCTCCTGGTTTTGTATGGGTCTGGAATCAGTCACGAGCTGCACAGGGTTGGCAAGAGCAGGATGGCAGCCCAAACAAGGGAGGAATGGTCCTGAGCAAGAGATCGGGGCTAGGAAGGGACAACCTTAGTGACACGGGAGGTCCCATCTGTCCCACCCTGCTGCACATGGGAGTTTCTAGACAAGGCTTTTTCTCCTGACCCAAACCTTCCTTCTGACTTGAAAACATGGTTCCCAAGTTCAGAGGTATCCTGTAAGTGAGGCAGGGAGAGGGAAGTGCCAGGAGCTGCTCTGCTCCACTCACCTGCTGCCTCCTTCCCCCCCGGGGCGCAGCCTCCCCAGCGTGGGTGCCAGCACTATTACTGCTGCAGTCACGTGTGGAACAGAGTGTGCAGCACCCCTCAAATTACGGGGTCACAGTCCAGTTGCAGGTGTGTCACACTGAGGGTCATACGGCTTTGTGGGCTGCAATAAGGAAGAGTCACTTAGCTGCTGGGGTTGTTGCCCATCTGGTGCCAGCAGAGGCTGGCTGCAGGCACAGCCGGGGCTGCGGGCTCCTTGCACATCACCCCCTGACTTTTGTGAGAAATTCCCTTGGGAATTAGGGCTACAGTGGATAAATAAAGGAGAACATTCAGGCCTGAGATGTAAATTTTCCCCTGGTGAAGGTCTGTACCTGTAGCTTTGCTAGCTGAATTTTGTGTCTGGCTTGTTAAGCAGCCCTGGGCCCCTGAGGGCTCCCTGCTCCCTGCTGCAGAGCCAGGCTCAGACTGTGGCTGTGCAGGGCTGCCCAGCCTGGCTGCCCACAGGCCACGCAGCAATGTCCCCTAACACTGTTCTCATGTAGTGAACCAGAGAACTCTGACAGCTGACCTGAAGGACCTGCACACCACTGTCAGTGACATTCAGCTGGCCTGCCACAACATGCCAGCGACTGCAGAGGACAGATTTGCAATTGTGATGACTGTATCCTTCCGAAAAAGGGGCAGAACCATTGTTGTCTTTGTGCCTCCTTGGTGAGCAGCAGGTCCCCTTTGCATGCAGCCATAGCCTGCGTTTCCAGCAGGTCCTTTCTGAGACCTGAGATGGAGCCCAGCAGTCTGATAAGCAGAAGTGATTCTGATCTGTCCCAGACCCCAGTGTGGCTGTTTTTCCTTAAGCCCTTTCTCTCAGTCCTTCCTGGAGAGTGCCCAGCCTGCCATGCGATCCCTGGATGACCTGCAGCACAAGGCCATGGAAGAGTTCAGCAAGGTGTTGTCCTTCTTTGGGGAAGACTCGAAAATGACAACTTCTGAAGCCTTCTTTGGCATTTTTGCAGAATTCATGAGCAAGTTCGAGGTGAGTTGCACTTTCAAAGCCAGCCAGGAAGGCGATTCCTGTCAGAGGTGAGTGAAGTGTTTTCCTTGCATGTGAGCTGTGGAGTGAGATGAGCTTTCTGTGAGCACGTGCACCTGAGTGTCTGCAAGTGCAGGTTGGCTGGATGGTGCAGGAGGTAGAGGGGAGGGTCCATGGTCCAAGCATCAGCCCCATGGAGAGTAAAGCAGATGTTGTCATGGTCTTGACGTTCCTGGTTAATGAAGGCTGGGCTGGGGCACCCAAAGCAGATGCACTGTCAGGGCTTGCCCAGTGGGAAGCCAGGGGAGAATTAAGGCTGTAGTGGGGTAGTACAACTGAAATGTCCTCCCTGTCCACACCAGCTGCCCTTGCCTGATGCTCAGCTCCTGCCCTTTGCTCTCTCCCTGCAGCGGGCACTCAGCGATGTGCAGGTCGGCGAGAGCCAGCGCAGCCCCAGGGTGACCTCCCCCCTGGCCTGGTGACAGGTCTGCAGCCACGCCAGCTCTGACAGTTTATTGTCAACAAAGTGCAATTTGCTCCCATTGAGTTTGGTTGTAAATATGCTGCTGTCACCTGCTGCCACCAAGCAGAACCACGGACCGAGGTGTCAGGGCAGTTTGGATACTGAAAAGTGATGGTGGATGGATGTGAGGGTGAGGCACAGGGACAAGAAGGTGAACACTGTGCTAGGCTTGGCAACAGCTTTCTTAGCACCCTCCATTTCCTGCATATGACTGAGTCAAGGATTCAGCCCCTGCTCCAGCCCCCTGCCCCACTCCAGCCCTGGCACAGGTCACTCCTCCTGCCTGTGGCCAGAGCAGAAGCCCTCACTGCAGCCTCTGCTTACTACACAATCACCAACTGGTGCATTATTTATGGGATACCTTATAACCATCAAATATTTTTCAGTATTTTTCCAAGCCCCCCTGCAGAAAGTGAGGTGTATTTTGACAAGTGATCTGTTTATACAGCATTAAGTGCCAGGTAGTTTCTAGTGTTGTGTTCCCAGAGGTCCAGTCCCCTGTCCCTGCCTCCCCTCTGCCCGATGGCAGTGACAGGGAGATGCTTGCTCAGCTCCTCTTTCCATTCTGGATGTTGCACAATGTGTTCTGTTGATTTTTTTTTAAATTATTATTATTATTTTTATTTTTTATTTCCAAAAAACTTACTCAGTACTTAAACATTTGGATGTTCTTTTGAAACTGTCATTACAACTGTGAAAACGCTGTACATAGATTTTGCTACATGTTGTAACTTTCCAAAATAGTTAGGACTCCAAACCCTTTGGTATTTTTATGTGACTATTTTCAAAGAACCAGAACTTCTGACACACGGTTGTATTATTTGATAACGGGACCATGTACATTCACAGTCCAGTCTCTACCCAATGCCTACGTGCTATTCCTAAAATAAAGCTACTGCCTTTCGCCTCCTGATTGCATGTACCTTTGTGTCTAGGCAAAAATGACTTTGCAGGTGAAGGTGTGAGGAATTCTGCATCTGGCACATCTTCATATCAGCCCCTTACACCTACAGGAGAGGTGCAGGATCCAACCTTGCTGGATTCAGGCTGGTATGGGGAAAATAACCGTGTACGTGTGAAGAGAGCAGCTTGCGTGCCAGCTCTCAGGACACTGTGATGAATATGAGCAACACATTCTTAAAATAGTATGGATTTTTTCTGCAGCCTTCAGAAGAAAACATTTAGTGAGCGTGTGAGCCAGTGAATTGTTTCCCTCTGAAGAGGAATTCTTGGCTGAGATTGAGTTTACGTCCCAGAGCAATTTATCTCCCTTTACACTCCCAGCAGATAGATAGGGACTGGTTTCGTATCAGATTTCCTGGTTGTAGTTTAGCTTGTTTACAGCAGCCTGCTCAGTCACTGGGTCCTGCTTGGAGGCCACAGAACCAGCCACTGCAGAACAGCTCTGAGCAGAGGTAGTAAAATTGTTATGGGTAGAATCCCTGGCTGGGCACCTGCGTTCAAAGTGCTCGAACCCCTCCTGGCTGATCAAGCCTGGCTCTTCTGCAGCCCTGGGGACCTGAAGCTGCCTGGTGTGGCTGTCAAACCACTGCAGGGTCCAGCACAGCCCACAGAGCCCCACAGAAACGATGCCCTGGAGCCTCCTCTGCAGCCGGTGCAGTCGGCACCATTCCCCGCACATGCTGCTCTGGTGTTTCCTGAGACCTTCACACAGGAGGGTACCAGTGCACTGGCTCCTTCTCCTCTCAGCCCTGCACAGTCCAGCCTGAGCAGAACGCCTGCGTCAGCCTCGGTCATGGGATCATCTTCCCAGGAAAGCCTGTCCTGGGGAAGGAAATAATAACTCAGGCAGCAGCCCGGGGTCAGCGCAGGGAATGCAGCCCTGGCATAGCTCCGGCTCCATGGGGTGCCACTTCCATCCTCTGACAGAGACAGGGAAACAATGGCCATGACAATCCCAGGTTACATTCCAAACTTCAGATTATTTAAGGATTTTCACTCTTCCTTGCAAGAAATGGGGAAAAGAATATTAAAAACAAACAAACAAGCAGCTTTAGTAACGTCATGGTGAGGGTAAGATCACAGCTCCCACTGGTGGGCTGGCTGGGCTGAGACAGCACTAGGCTGGCATTGCCAGGCCAAGCTGGAACCAGGTATGAGTCCTCCCTCTCCGTGTCTTGATAATAGTTTGAAGGGACAAATTCCATAACTACTTCCCAGATACCAAAAAAGATGCCAAAGAGACAAACAGAGGTCTCTGCTTCAGACTGGAAGGGCTGGAAGTCAAGGCAGCACAGACTGGGAGGTAGAACAAGGTACCTGGGTGATGAATTTGATGCCCCCAAGGATTGTCATTGTTCCAACACAGTTTAGGAAAATCTGGGTTTCCCAGATTCCAGCAGATCAAATTAAACCATCTCTGGATTCTCAGACTCTGGGGTGTCTTTTGTTATGTAAAATATTTGTCTCCACTGTCAGTCTAGAAAGCTGAAAAGTGAAGGTGAGAGCTGAACTGCTTCTAGCAGCTGATATTGTCAGAGAAAGGGTAAGTTTCACAAACCCTTTGGTACAAGCAGTGCAGCTGCAACATCGAGTGACCCGTGAGTGAGAGTGCAGCAGCATTTGTGCTCAGAGATGCTGCGTGGAGCTGGGCAGGGCACGGGGTTGGTGTCCCCTGGGGTTGTCCTGCTTCAGCAGAGACTTTCACCTGACTGTCATCAGGGTGTTGCAGAAGAGCTGAGGACTGGCCAGTAAAACATGCCTTTAGGGGATCACATACAGTAGAATTTGGGTTGGTAACTCCACCATTTAAGGCCAGTGCCAGTGCTTGGTCTGCAGGTTACCAGTGCTGAGACACAGGGTCCTCAGCAGTGCTGCCCCAGGTCTCTCTGCACCCTGATTTCAGAGCAGGATGAGCTGCCTCCTGCCACGGCCTCTCCCTGCACTGGGAGGTCCCTCCTCAGCATCACTTTCTGCACGTTATTGATCCATAAGTGTTTATCAGGTTTTTCAGAGAGATGATGCTGATGCCAAAACCTCCAGTCTGGTCCCAGAAGGTAACTCGAGTCTGGGATTAACCTCCAGACTCAGAAATGAGTTACAAACCCCAGCCCCTGGAAGAGCTCTGCTCTCTGTGAGGCTGAGGCACCAACCCAGAGATGGTACTGGCTGTCAGCTCGCCGCGTGCCGTGGGCTGGCAGCTCGGGAGGACAGCAGCAGGGATTTCTTTCTGTATTGTTCCTTGTCCCTTCTCCAGCTGCGCAGATTGCTTCAGAGGATGGCCCTCCGTGGAGTTTGACCCCTGAGCCCCGATAGTGAAAATAATACACTTCTCACCAGAGCCACGTGAGACCCAAGGAGTAACTTCGGGCCATTAGTTTAACTTTGACTCTAAATATTCCTTCTGGTTCCTTGTGACACCGTTAACAGCTCCGCTGGCAAATCCTGATTCTCTGGCAATATTTAAGCTGCCTGTCAGTTGGCAGAGTTTGGTGGTGCCCGGCGCAGGGAGCAGAATGAGACCCAGCTGAGCGCAGTAAGTTCCCTTTCAGTTCTCCCCGCGTCGCGGAGCCCGGCGGGCGGTGGGGCTGGGGGCTGCGGCCCTGCCCCGCCCCGGGGGGGCTTCAGGAGCTGGATGGACCTGGGAATGCTTTAAAAAATCCCGTTGAGGAGAAATTCGGAGCGATATAGCCCTGACGGGTTACTCCAGACCCACGTGGGCCACGTCCCTCCCGGGACCATTGATAAAGGGCTGGCTTGAGCTGCTTCATTCCCATGCCATGGATGTTCCTTCCTCACAATCTCTGGCAAGGAAAGCGCTGCTGCCTGTGCCAGGAACCAAGGGAGACCGGGGCTGTGAGCTGAATTCACAACATGGGCAAAATTTCCACTGGGCCGTGGCAGAGTTAGGACCTGAAATCGGAGCCACCGACTCTACCACATTCTTGAGAAGGTTCGGCCGCGCCCCGGGAGCCGCACCGGGAGCTCTCACCCACCACCTGGATTCGGCTCAGGGAATTTCCCCTGGAGTGCATCCTGCAGTTCCTTTCTTTCCTGATGGACATGACAAACACCTGCAGAGCTCTGCCCGGACCCGCAGGCACCGGGCAGGGGAAGGCACAGGGCTCCCCTGCATTCCTGGCTGAACCCCGGGAGATGGAGCCTGGGCACCTCCAGCGGTTCCGCCCGTGAGAACCACCTGCCACCAGCCCTCGGGTGGGAAGTGTCTCAGGATTAAAAGAAACAGCAATATCTGTAAAATCTGAGCTGCAAAAGGGAAAGCAGGCGGTGGCAGAGCAGGGTTTGCAACTTCCACAGGCTGGCACACCAAAGCTGGGTTTTCTTTTCCTAGAGGTTAAGCGTGCCAGTAAAAACTCAGCAAGAGCCAGACATGTTGCCTCTTAAAGAGGGAAGATAGTGCTGACCTGGTGGCCAGTGGTCTGTGTCCTGCCAGGCAGAAGCTCTCAAGGAATTCAGCGGGATGTGGGGCTTTATAAGGTACAGAAAAGGCTTTGTGAGGTGCTGCAAGTCCCTGGTCCCAGCCTGGTGCTGCCACTCAACCAGAACATGGCTCTGTACCATCTTTGTCTCCTGTGCTGGAGGCTTCTGATATCTTGAGATACAAACCTCAGCTGTGGAAAGCAGGTTCTGGGATGGTGCCTGCCACTGGGAAGCTCCTTCTTCATTGCCCAACTTTTTGATAACTGCATGAGAGCCTGTGCTGCAGGACTGGGTGTATGGGAACACAGGGCAGGGCTTGCCCCTCCTGAATGCTGCTCAGCAGGAGAAGTTGCTGCATCTCCATCACCATCACTCCATCCCTGCTCTGCCCTGCACACACCCGGGCAGCCGGTGCCGCAGAGCAGCTGGTTGCTCTTCAGGCCCAGGTGAGTTTGGGGCAGGTTCCTGCTGTGGTTCCACACTGGGGTGAAGCTGGTGGAGGTTGTGAAAGATGTGGGTGAGGGAGATGTTCTTCAGATGAAGAACTTGTTTGACTGCTTGTTGTCCAACCGTCCATGCCGGGAGCCTGGGGCTGGTGCAGGCCACCCTTAGCCCCACCCTCTTCAGCCTTTTGGCAGGGGGGAGCTTATAAGTTTTGCCAGGGGAGTGTAAGAGAGGCCAGAGGACCTGGCCAGCCGTGTAGGCAGGAGGAGGATGAGGATCAGCAGACACCTGGCCCAGCTGTCCCAGTGACACCAGAGGCTCTTCACAGGAACCATCTCCTCAGCTCAGTGGGGTAAGAGAAATCATCCCAGAGCTGCTCCATGGCTGGAGCCTGGCAGTGAGGTGCTGGGCCTGGGGATCCCTGGTGGCCAACACGGCCTCCCAAGCCAGGGGCTCCCCTTGGCACTGCCCCTCACCTCCTCCCCTGTCCCTGGAGTGGGGCCAGCCTGGGTGAGGGCACCAGGAAACCAGGAGGAAACCAGGAGGAACTGCATTAATTCAACCCCCTGGCCAACTTCCCTGCATGGACTTTATCTTGCCCCTTCTGCCAAAGGATGCCTGGCACCACAGGGCACTCTGGAGGTGCCACATCTCCTTATCAGGCATTTCTGGACAAGAAAACAAGGTTTTATTCCTGTGGGAAGGACTTGAGTATCTTGTCCAGAGGGAATGTCGCTATGGGCTGGTGTGCAGGAAGGAACCCCAGCACTGGCTCTTCCACCCCTTGGTGCTGGTCCCACACCAGCAGCTCATCCCTCTGGCACAGCAGCAGGTCTGTCCATCCCTCTGCTGGGTGACATGCTGCCACCCCTGCTCCTGATGGGGAAGGCAGCTGGGCTCAGGTGCTCAGTCCCAGCACCTTCTGCACCTGGGCTTGAGGTCTTGCTGTGGCCAAGGAGGACAATGCCACTGCCACTGGAGCAGCTCACATGTCATCACATCCTGGTGGCTCATCATGGGCACATTTCTGGCAGCAGCTTCTCACCATGGCCAATCCTGCAGACAATTACTCACTGCAAGGGGAATCCAACCAAGCTGTGGCTGGCCAGCCTGCTGGCAGCATCTTCCCATCACAGAACAGGCATCACGGATGAAGGCAAATGCCAGAGACAAGAGCCCTCTCCATGGTTCCAGCAGAAGGAGAACCACGGCCAGAGCAGATAACCCGAGTTGCTCAAGAAATGATCAACACCTTCACCCTCTCCTAACTGTGTAACCCATTTTTTTTCACAGATATATGCATCAAGATAAAGAAACCCTTGGCCTGCATACGAAGCCATGGAGCCCACCAGCAGCACCCCCTCCTCTGTCACCCCCCTGTGGGATGTGTTTCCCCAGAAGACACTGGACACCATAGACATTGTTGTTCTTGTGCTGTACTTTGTGTTTGTCCTTGCAGTTGGGCTGTGGGTAAGCAGATCCCCTTAAAAGCTTTCATACATGCCTTGTTATCCTGAAATTTATGGCTGTTTGGGCCTCAAATGATTTTCCTTTGGCTTGAGTCTGGCTGTACTTCCCGGGATTCAACTGAACAAGCGGAAAGTAGAGTTTACAGCTCCTTTTCCTCACTTCAGCCTGGGGAAGTGTCCTTGCTGCTCCAGAGGAGAGCTGTTCAGCTCTAGTGTTTGCCAAGGGTTTGAGAACCCTTGGAAGAAGAGGTCGTCTAAGTACAAAGTATTGCTAATAATACTGTTTTGTTCATCCAGGAAGGAATTGCTCTGCTATAAATCACCTGTGCTTGTCCACAGTGGTCTCACCAGCAGATTCTGTAAATTAAAAATACTGTTCATATATAATTAAGGCAGCAGGATATCCTTTTGGCACAGCTTTTATGACAGCAAAAGCACAGTCTGGCTGTCATAGGGCTGAGATGAAGAGTTGCTCCCTCCAGGTGTGGTACATAACTCTCCTGGTGTTGCACAAAACTGTCTGAAGTCTCTGAAGGACGGGATCCAATGAGTAATACCTAATAACTAGGGGTGGCCTCAGTTCTTGTCCAAAATTGCTTGTCTTCCTCATGCTCTGCAGTGGTTTAGTTTGCTAATCACAGAAAACCTTAATCAGGATGCTGAGAGGACAGAAAACGTTGCACGAGGCGTCAGGCTTGGCTGGTCCCCTCCCTCGCGGCTGCTCTCTCATCCCCCAGGATTTCTCAGCAGCAGCTGCAGGTGCTTCCAGGAACCCTTTGCTTTCATCTGATGACAGTACAGAGTCTGCTGTGAGGGAAATGGCTTGGTGATGCTCTGAGAGCAGCTGAGGTGGTTGCTGAAACCTGTGTTCTGCTTTTCTGCTTTCCCAGTCCATGTGGAAGACGCAGCGCAGCACTGTGAAAGGCTATTTCCTGGCTGGGGGACAGATGGTTTGGTGGCCTGTAAGTATCTTGATCATTACACTGCTCGTGCCCCCAGGCTGCAGCAAGACTGAAAAGCACTTTTGTCCAAGCAGAACTCATTTCTCCAAACAGAAAACAAAAATTAGAAAAGTTACTTCCATGTTTTACCAAGACCCAGGTATGAGAATGAGGGGTTTTTTCCATTTCTGAGACTGGGGAAGTGCTGCTGCTGCAGGGCACTTGTCACAGCCCTGTGCCCCACCAGAGCCAGCTGACTGGTTCTGCAGGCTTTGGCCTGGAGATTCCCAGAATTAACTGGGGGGTCTCCATGGTGGACACAGCTTTGCCTTGAGCCAGTGTGCTGGGTGGGTATTTCATTTAGGCTGGTTGGGTGAATAAGTAGGTACTGATGTAAGAACCTGATGACCCAACACGTCTACTTGTTACCTTCTGTCCTGCTCCCCCATGAGAGACTTGACACTCTTTTGGAACCAGGATGGTCCCAAACAGGCCCACAAATGAGCAATAGGCAGTGAATGATGAAAGAAGGTGGAGAGAGGTGCCAGAGTGCTGAAAATGTAAGCAAAAGAAGGTGGCAGAGAGTGAGGAGGATTTCATGTCCCCTGTAGTGATGAGTGGGGAAGAGCATCACTGTGTGTCATCCACAGTGGGGGGTGTGGAGCACTGAGTTGCCCATCACTGGGCTGAGAACAACGCCTTGTGCCAAGGCCAGATCCCATTTCCTGTCTTTCCCCAGGTGGGTGCATCCCTGTTTGCCAGCAATGTTGGAAGTGGCCACTTCATTGGCCTGGCTGGGTCAGGAGCTGCCTCTGGAATTGCCGCAACAGCCTACGAGTGGAACGTGAGTGTGGCACAGTGGCTCTGGGGCCATCTCTGTGCCCAGCAGGGCAACTCCAACACCAAAAAGCTGCTACACAGGGATCTGGCAGCTCCAAAGACTCAGCCTCCAGCTGCCTGAGCCTTGAGGCCTGAGAGATAACCCCATCCCCATGTCCCCCTGATCTACCTGATCACAGCCCTGACCAGCTTCACTGACATTCCTTCCCTTTCCCTTTGCAGGGGATGTTCTGTGTTTTGGTGCTGGCCTGGCTGTTTCTGCCCATCTACATAGCAGCAGGGGTAAGTAGATGGAGGTTGTGTCCATCAGTGACGTGCTGGTAATTGAACTGTTTGGTTCATGGGCTTAACCATCTCCTGCTGTACCTGTGTCACAGTGCTCCCAGCAGCTCCGGTGGCCTGGGCTAAAGGGGACCAGAGCTGGTGCCTGTGGACAGCACCAAGGGCTTGGCTGTGGGGTCAGACTGCTCTGCTGCCCCAGCAATGGGGCAGAGCTGCTCCATCTCCCCACGAGAGGGAAGAAGCTCTCCCAGTGAACCCTACACCAGACACTGCAGCGCAGCCAGTGCCTGCCGAGCTGCCCTGCAGGTCTGAGCAGGCAGGGCAGAACCAAACCCCAGCCCAGTGCAGCTGGCAGGGCCACCCTGGGCCTCCCCCTGCTCAGACCCCCCCAGCAGGCCCCAAGAGTCCTCCTGCAGCCCTCCCTGTACCACCCACCCTGACAGCACCTCTTGCCCAGGTCACCACCATGCCCGAGTACCTGCAGAGACGTTTTGGAGGCAAAAGAATTCAGATGTTCCTGGCAATTCTCTACTTGTTCATCTATATCTTCACCAAAATATCTGTAAGTAGGAAAAGAAACAGATTGAAAGTTCACCATGGAAACACTCGCTGATCAGCAAGGTGGGGAAGTGCAACTACTGGCCCTTCTCTGTTAGCAGAAAAGGGTGTTTGTTTTATCTAAACACCTGAGGAAGTTTGACTGTAGTTGTTTCGAGTGCCTACACAAACAGAATAACATCAGGTTCTCCTGAAAGCTTGCCACCCCAGGAGGGAAAGGTTGGTGTGAACAGTCTGAGCAATGGCTCACTGAAAAGTCAAGTTGTGAGCATGGATGCATTTGTTGTTAGATTTTGTACATCTGGCAGGTTACCCAGTTTCTTCCCCCTCCCCTTTCCTGCCTGCAGACACCAAACGCGGTTCTGTGGGATGAATAAGAACGTGGGAGTTGGTATCTGTGGAGATGAAAAGAGTTTAGTGCTTTACTGCACCATTTGATGTGTTGCCTTGGACAGATAACTGGAGCAAGCCTTGCACAACACCTCCCGGGCTGGTCATTAACCGTGTGGCAGCACGTGAACCAGGGCAACTGCTGAGTGTTTCCTGTGGGTCTGGGGCCAAAGTGGGACACGCTGTGGGACACAGCCTGCCTGGGTCCCCTCTGGAGCAGATGCTGGTCATGGAGCTCAGGTGGCACCCAGGAACCAGGCTTAGGTTCTCTTCTAGAAACAACTAACCCTTTGGTTAGAGTCCTGAGAGAGACTGGATTGTTCAGGTGCTTTTTCACTTGTGCCATTCTGTGCTCTGCAGTTTGACCACCCTAAATCCCACCTAAACTGCAGCATTTTCACTTAGCTGCAGAGCTAGTTGGTCAGGGCTGGGTCCCAGCCCCACAACACTCCTGGTTATCTCACTGTCACTTTGTCTGCAGGGAGGAATTGATGGGATGGCACAGGGGTGCTGGGGCTGGTGGCAGGCCGAGGCTGTCCCCTGGCCAGCACAGCTCTCCCACTCAGCTCCCTGGTGCTCTGGGGAGATGAGCTCACCCCACATAAAAATGTCTTTTTCAGAGAGCACTGTGCATGTACCCCTCCCTTGGGACAGCTCAATCATTGCCCTCCCTGTGCCCCATGACTCAGCCAAGCCTGGTCCTAATGCCCAGGAGGCAGGAGCAGGGGCTGCGGAGGGATGTGCCACACGGAAAAGATGCTGTGGGCAGCCAGGGAGTCGTGAGCAGTTACAAATCAAGGAGGCTCTGAGGAGCTCTGTGATATCACTGCAGCTGTGCTAACTGGCTTTTTGTCTAGGTGGACATGTATGCTGGGGCCCTCTTCATCCAGCAGGCCCTGCACTGGGACCTGTACATCGCCGTGGCGGGGCTGCTGGCCATCACTGCTGTCTACACGGTTGCAGGTATGTGGTTGTTTCAGCCCACACCACAGATCTGTGCTGAGCTGAGCTCACACACAGCACCCGGCGTCCTGCAAGCCCTGCCTTCCCCAGGCAGTCTGGTTTTGCCATGAGAAGGGGGGAGAAAAAACTGGTAGCTCATCCATTAGAAAGAAATTCCCAGGTAGGAGCAAACGAATACCCCTGCTCTGGGGCAGAGCAGTTCTGCTTTAAGGAGAAGCTGTACTCGAGGCATTTGCACAATACATTTTTCCTCTGGGCTTTCGGGTGGTATGAGAGATTAACATAACAATGAGCCGTGTAATGGGAGAGCCTTGGGTGCCCTTTCAAGTGGCCAAATGGAAAAAAGCCGTGCAAATCCCAAACAAATAAAGGTTGCTCCTTTCCCAGTGCTCACCCCAGTGATGTTGCTCATAAAGATCCTCCACCCCCCCCCCCCTTTTTTTTTTTTTTTTTTCCCCCCCCTTCCTTACTCTCCCCTTGTTTTT